TGCCAATGGGTAATTCTTGCAATTTTGGGTGTCTTATAATTTTTAAATAAATGGTGGACATTGTATATTGAGAAATCGTGGAGGCTGAGTTAAACAGTATTTATGTTGAGAAATAGGCATATCTCCTCTGTCAGACTGTTGGTGTGGAGGGTGGCATCAATCTTGTCAGTAGTTGAGCTCATTTTGAGTTTTGTTGTTGCTATCATCACTACTGACTTCAGATTCCTTCAGCAGTGGTGTGCTATTATCTGTGCTTTGTGTGGGGTGAGGTTTGGGGAGGATTTTTCCCTCAATGTTTCTGCTCTGCCCTCAGGTTTCAGCAGTCCCTCCTTTACTGTGCCAAGGGGTGAGGTGTATCTGTATGCTCTGTAGTCAGCTCTTGTGCTTATTACTTGATCATAAGAGTGTGGTGGGTGTAGGGACATAGTTCTTGATTTTCTTGCCCAGACTCATTCTCAAGCTGACTGTTTGCCTGGGTCTCAGAGGTGGGTTTTTATCAATGTTTCTGCCTCCTTTCCCATGGTAGCCAAACTTTACTTTGGATCTGTGGGTGCTCCTGGGTGCAAGAGAGTTTCCTGCCTCCTTGTCAGCATTTTCAGACCTCTGCTTTATACTGGTGCAGGGCCTTGCTTTCAGGAGTGTTTTCTACCCCTTTATTCCAGGGGTAGGTAGCTTTTGCTTCTACTAAGCAATAAGTCTTTGCCTAAGCTTCTGGGGCAACAGAATCTCTTGTCTCTACCCCAGAGGCAGCTGGTATTTGTTTCTCCCCTTTCTCTAGTGGCTTAAGCTTTTTGCTTTGTATGAGAGAAAAGTCTAGAGAAGTGTGTAAAAGTTCCATGCTTTCCTCTCAGTGGCAGACATTCACCAGCTGCATACCTGCTCCACTGAGTGAGGCTCTCTCTGGTTTCTAGTTGTACCTCTGCTTGGTTGTCCTCCTGAGTACTCAGGTGAGGTCCATGGAAAAGAGCTTCTGCTTTGAGATCCTAGTTTTTCTAAATTGTTGTGTTTGCCTACACTCAGTCTTTTAGAATTTATTGGCATTTTTCTCTCTCTCTCTTTTTTTTTTTTTTTTTAGATTTTATTTATTTATTTGAGAGTGAGTTGGGGAGAGAGGCAGAGGAAGTGGACTTCCCACTGAGCAAGGAGCCTAATGTGGGGCTTGATCCCAGGATCCTGGGATCATGACCTGAGCTGAAGGCAGATGTTTAACTGACTGAGCCACCCAGGTGCCCCATAGAATTTATTGGCATTTCATCTACTTTCTTCTCACCTGCATTTATAGCATTCATCTCTTCTTCTTTGCTCTGCCAGTGTTGAGACACTTTGTGAGCCCTGCCTCTCCATGGAGGGGTTTGTCACTCTCTAGAATTCATTTCTCTTGTTTGCTTTACAATCTCAGATCTCTGATGGATTCAAGAGAAGTTATGATTTTTTACATTCTGTGGTGCTTTCTCATTGATACATTTCTGCATTCTAAGAAAAAGTGGAACATTCTTTTCACCTTTTTAAAATACACTGTTCTTACATCTTGATTTTGCTTTTCACTCATATGTTGGGGTTTCACTTATATCATGGAGTTTGTTCTACATCAAGACATAACTGGTGGGGTGCCTTGGTGGCTCAGTCAGTTAAGTGTCTGCCTTCGGCTCAGATCATGATCCCAGGGTCCTGGGATCGAGTCCTGCAATGGACTCCCTGCTCAGTGGGGAGTCTGCTTCTCCCTCTGCCCCTCCCCTCTGCTCAATCTCACTCTCTCTCTCTCTCTCAAATAACTAAATAAAATCTTAAAAAAAAAAGACATAACTGGCATGTGCTTCGTTCTCTTTTTTTTTATATTTGATTATTATATTGGTCAAACTGATACTGATATGTATAAAAGGTCAAGATTTATTCATGATTAATGGTATAAAGATTTGGTTTATGATAAAATGCCCTGCCACTGGCCATTTCTGCTTCCTTTTTCCAGAGGCAACCTCTTGCCACCTGCTTCAGCTGTTTATTATTTTTCTATTGTCAGTCACTCATATTTCTATTTCTAGATTTTTCATTTTTAGATATTATCTGAGTTCTTGCTCTGAAAAATGAAGACTTAACTCTCATATACATACTCCACATGTACACTTCTCTACATCTCTGTAACTTATCCCCAAACTCTCTGACAAGTAAACATGTCATGTAATTTTTTAGTTCCTTTTTTAAATCTTTCTTGGAGCTCTTCATTCTTCCCTTCTAAGTTGGATTGATTGTTTGATCTGCAGAGCTAGTATTTTGGTTCTTCTCTTAACCATTATTTTGAAAATTTCTTTTGCTTCTCTCCCTTGTTGAGTTGCCTATTTTCTGGATGGTTTCCCTTGTTCTTGATTTGCTTCCTTGTTTAGATGGAGCACATACTTTAGTTAGCTTGCCTATAGAAGATACTTGGAGAGTAAATATTTGAGATCTTGTAGGTCTGAAATATCTTCGTATTTCCCACACACTTAATTGATAGTCTTTCTGAGATATAATTCTAAATTGGAAATAATTTTTTCACTGATTTCTTGAAGGCATTCCACCAATGTTTTCTACCTCCCACACCACTTTTGAAACTCCAGAGCCTTCTGATTCTTCAGCTTATATATGAAACTTTTATGTTTTTTCCCCTCTTGATGCTTTTCTGGCTTTTTCTTTTCCTAGGGGTTGTGAAATTCATGGATGATTGACTTGATATGTGTATTCTTTGGTAAATTGTGTTGGGCATTTGGATTTCAATACAGAAATTCATATACTTTAAAAGTGGGAAATTCTCATATTCCTTTGAAAATTCCTCTCCCTCCATTTTTGCTATTGTTTCTTTCTGGGGTACCTGCTGGTCTTATGGATGATCTTCTGAGCCAGCCTATCTGCGTCCCTCCCTTCCTTCCTCCCTTTCTGCCTTCTTTCCTTCTCTACCTTTGTTCCGTTTTCTAGGAGATTTCTTTAACTGTGTCTTCCAGTCCTTCTTTGAAATTATTTACTTTGGCTCTTGTATTTTTGACTTCCCAGAGCTCTTCCTCATTCTCAAAATATTCCTTTTTATAGCCTCTTATTCTTGTTTAGTGGGTATAATATTTCTTCTGTGGCTCTGAGAACTTTAAAAAACGTTAACCTTTTTTGGAAGTTTTATTCTGTTCCCTTTGTTGTCTTTGCCATTCCTTGTGGGTCAGAAGCCTAGCTGTTGTCTTCTGAGTCCAAATGAGGAGGGGCGCTGGGTGTCTTATCTTCCAGGATAAATTTGGACTCGCATCTCCTCATTTGCATGTCGCCTATCAGTCCCACCCACAGCTGTGCCTGGTGTTCAGAGTCTCTCTGTTTTAGCCTTTCCTAAGAAGACACCTCTTAGGAAATCTGTCTTTTGGGGATCAAAGAGGTGAGTTGGAGGTTTCATAGCACCTTGAAAGACTTCCAGAGCCATTCCAGGATTCATCTTTAGAAGTACCGAGTGTGCGTCTGATTCCTGAGGCTTTCTGGGGTTCTGGGGGCACAAACCAGTTTACTTTTTTGTAAGGTCTTTGTTGGCTTCTCACTCTTCAGACTCGTTTCAGCCTACTCACATCTGCTAGGTCAGTTACAACTTGTTTATCTGCTTTTCTGATTCCAGACTTTGATAGGAATATCTCTTCTGCTCTTGAGTCCTTCCATATTCTGTTTGGGGGTAGGTGGGCAGAAGAGAGGGAAGGAGAGTTTATGGATTACTGGATTATCAATTTAGAGATGTTGGGGGGAGGAGAGATTACTCCTTCTGTTCACTCTGTCATGTTTAAGCAGAAACCTTACAATAACAGTTTTATTAGTGTTGAGGTAGAAATCAGAGAGGCTTGGGATTCAGTTGAATGTGAAAAATTAGACATAGGCCATATAATCTAATATTTAACTAACCTCAGTTATAAGTAGAATGAAAGGAGGAATGAAATGCTAAATTTATTACCAACCTCAACCGAGCCCTCACTTGCCTAAAAAATCTGCATTCTTCTAATCTGCCTGCTCTTCTTTTCCCTAATGTGACTTATTTCTTCCTTACTCCACTTTCCTCAAACTTCTAACGTCCTCTCATGCTGTGATCCCATCTTCACAGAGAATGTGTGCCTGGGGTCTCCACAGGGCTTCCACTGACACCCGTCTGCATTTACGAGCACTTACTCCTCCTCTCTCCTTTCACAGTGGTACATTATTTGCTAGAATTATATTTTGTGTTTCTATCTGGAGTTTATTTATCCATTTGAACTTTGACATCTGATAATGTAAATATAAAATGCTGATTAGAATAGGAAATATGACTTTTTTTTCCCCCCGGAGTACTTTATATCAATAATACCAGCTCCACCCAGAGAGAACATAACCAGTTAAAGTCACTTATTAATTTGACTAAAATACTTACTACTTCAAAATACCTTGGTTTCTCTGAATGTAATTTCATAACAAACAGATCAAATCATCTGACAAAAGTCAGGATGTTACAAGTTTTACTTAAAGTTTGGGCTTAGTTTTCCATTTTTTGTATATGTCATTAGCAGTATTTCGTGACCCTTGTCATAGAACTTTTACAGAACAGACACAGTAATATTTCTGTTGTGAATTTGACCTTAGAAGCCATAAAACCCTTTGGGTCACATTAGCACTTGTGATGATTATTATTGTTTACTGTTTGAATAAGAATTGTTTACTTTTTAGCCATCTAGATAGAGCCTGTGTTGTATATAATATATGTGTTGAATATGGGGCTTTCTTGATTACTTAAATTGTACACTTAGATGAATGATAAAAGCAGAAGGAGACATAAGAATAGATTTGCATGTGGAAGAGGAAGAAATGATACTGTTCATATTAGTTACTTTTGTGTCCATGGTCCTGGGGTCAGAGAAGGAGAGAATAAGCAGAATAATCATGTGAGAGACTTTTGCCTTTGCTTAATTGATTAGTTAACTTTTTTTTCTTTTTGAATAAATCTGTTTATCTGGATTTAAACAATTGACTTAATCTTTCAGACAGGGGAAAACAAAGGATGGAGTGGTCCAAAGGCTGGGTTTCCTGAACCAACAAATAACAGTAAGTTTTCACTTTCATGTTGCCTACATTTTGTGTTCATCAGTGGTTCAGTGATTAGACTGGCACTGGATATTTATTGGATCTATTTGGGCCTGAGATGTGGGGGAGACAAGGAAGTCATGGTATTTGCTTTCCTGGAGCTGACGGAAGACATAAGCACTCATATTCTTAGCATGGTTTAGTCATTGCAAACAGAGTACCATTTACTCCACATGGTGAGCATCTAATTTTTTAAAGCTGTTTTTTTGTAACATTGTTATAATATAAAAGAATCAAGAAAGTAAAGCTATTATCTGTAAACCCGTTATACTCTAAAATCAACTGTTTCAAGATGAAGAGAAGGAGACAAACCGTAAGAGACTTTTTTTTTTAAGATTTTATTTATTTATTTATTTACTTGAGAGAGAGAGAGCAAGCGAGCATGAGCGGGGGAGAGGCAGAGGGAGAAGCAGGTTCCTCACTGAGCAGGGAACCCAATGCGGGACTCGATCCCAGGACCCCGGGATCATAACCTGAGCCAAAGGCAGACACTTAACTGACTGAGCCACCCAGGTGCCCCCATAAGAGACTCTTAATCATAGGAAACAAACTGAGGGTTGCTGGAGGGGAGGGAGGTGGGGGGATGGGGTAACTGGGTGATGGGCATTAGGGAGGGCACAGGATGTAATGAGCACTGGGTGTTATATAAGACTGATGAATCACTGAACTCTACCTCTGAAACTAATAATGCACTATATGTTAATTAATTGAATTTAAATAAAAAGATAAAATAACTGTTTCACATTTCAGTTCTTTTTAGGTACACATTCATTTTTATATGATTATAATATAGATGAAAGTTTGTACTGTGTTATTTTCATTTCACACAGTAATAAACATTTTTCACACTGTTCTGAATTGTTAGAATTTTTAATATTTTATTAAAGTCACTAATTGAAATATGAGAAATGTGAGCAATTTTATTACAAATATAGTGTTATTGACACTTGAAAATCCCTTCAGTTTATTTCTTTTCTCAAAAGTACACGATCAAGCTGTTATACATTGGAAGCACAGTCATCTTTCTCTAACTTCCTCCCACCTTTCCCAAAAAGTATCTGTTTTCCCTGACATGACCATTTTACTATAAATCAGTAAAACAAAAAAGCCAGTCAGTGAAGACCCTATGAAATGATGTCCTCAGTGAAGCCAAATTTATCTCTTATCTAACTCTATTTCTCTTCCTTATAACCTCTGGAAGTTGACTAAGCTTAAGTATGTAAATGGTCATAATGAAGAGTATTCTTTGATATTAACAGCTTATCTCTTGATGTATAATGAAATCAGTAACAAACTTTAATCAAAGCATGCTTATGAGAACTGAATTCTTGGATCATCAAAACTAGCTTCTTGAAAAGAATATTTCAGTGAGGTAATGGTATTCATGAGTTAACTTTATGGGAATAATTTAAATAATTTAATAGGACTCTGAGCCTTTGCTCTCTCTATATAAGAATGTTGAATGTGATAGGCTTAGCCCATAGCCCAAAGAAAAAAATGGAATCCAGTCAGGATTCTCAGAGAGTTTGTGTTTAATTCCTTTGATGTTTGAATATATAGGTTTATAATTACTTGGTAAGGGAATATAAGAAGCATTAAATTGATTTTAGTTTTTTGTAAAATACTTAGCACGGTACCTGTTTCCTGGTAAGTACATAATGAATGTTGATTTTCTTCCATGCCTTCTCCCTCCCTTTTTAAATAAAAATTATATAATTCTATGTAGGCTTATCAAAAATTCCATTCTTACACTTTAGTTTTTTTTAAATTTTTTTATACGATTTATTTGAGCAGAGAGAGAGAGAGCAGGGGTGGGGGCAGAGGGAGCAAGAATTTCAAGCAGACTCCCCACTGAGTGTGGAGCCTGACATGGCGCCTCATCTCACGCCGCTGAGATCAGACCTGAGCTGAAACCAAGAGTTGGACTCTCAACTGACTGTGCCACCCAGGTGCCCCCCCATTCTTACACTTTTAATCTGTCAGCTGTGTTTTAATGTACCAGGTGACCACTGTATATGTATTTTAAATTTGAATAGTTACTTTGGGCACTAGATATTTTTTCAAAGAAAATAAACACTATGCTTTTGAGTATGGAAGTCAGGTAGTTTTAACATGAAATCACATTATAGATAACCTGCAAACTCTATCATTTAGCGTGATACTTTGCCTCTTAACTTTGATTTTGTTTTTTTTTAAACTTGCCAATTGATTTTTGGACCTTATTTGCCAGTAGGAGAAGAGATAGTACAAAGAGGCCAGTGAGTTTCAGTGATGAGAAATGTGTAAGAATGCATGAAAGATTTGCTTTAGACATAATGTTAGAAAGGATAAAGCCGTTTGGAGCCAGCTTAAAACTTAACCAAACTGTTAACACTTTAGAACTTCCTTTGGTCTCCAGTAGTTCAAATTGAGAATTGAAAGAAGGATACGATCCCTCAGCCTTTCCAAACTGTGAGAGGTGAGAAAGCCAATGCCTGGTTTCTTCCCTCTGAACACTGAGTGGTCTCTGCCTCAGGTTACCACAGAGGATGATGGCAGCCCTGCTCTGAAATGTACCTGTTTTACTCCCTGATGGCTAGTTCTCTCTAGTGGCGCCCCAGTGTCCTCTGGAGCCAACTCGTAGCTACTTAAATACAACTTTAGCAAAAAGTTAGTTTCTTAGCAATTGATCATTTAGGCAATGAATCCATTACCTGAAAATTAAATTTGTATAGTATGGTAACATTTATGTTAAATTCTTTTCTACTTAATTCCTTAAGTTTGAAATTCTGCCCTAAGTGGTTTCTGTCCCATGAAGACTACCTGAGTTAAGAGTTTTGCAGGCAAAGATTAGAGTAGGCATCTCTTGGGATGGTGCATGTGGGGGAAGACGGGAATTTGAGGTTGCCAGTACCGGCGGCCCCGCTGGCCTATTTTCTGACCTTGAGCAACTCATTTCACATCTTATGGTTCAGTGTGCTCTGTTAAGAGTCATGCATACCAGTTTATAATGCTGAGTATCTTTAATAATCTAACATTTGTACAATGACTAACCATCCTTGAATAACATCCGAAAAGGTAACGTACTGCTCTGTAAAACGCAGAATGTTATCATAAAGTGACTCTCTACATTTAAACTCTGTACTACTTTACAAATTATAGTTAGCTAACCATTATTTGGATAAATACTATGAAATTAACTTGGAACCATGGTGTACAAAAATTAAAAGTAGGGAACGCAGAATTGGAAAGGAGAAAGAAAATTTTAACCTAGCATAGCTAGCACCTAACTCTTAGTAGACAAAAAAAGTTAATGTACCTGTGCATTTAATTTTTGAAGTGGAAGATATTTTTTTAAAGATTACAGTCGTAAGAAACTGCTAACAATTACAACTAAAAAATGGTTTAAATGGTTTTGCAAGTGATTGTGATTGCATAGCCTGGCTCCTGGCTTGATTGCCTGCAGATTTAAAATATGGACTTAATTTTTGCATGCTTCTCAGGCTTTCTCCATTGTACTGAATTGCAGTAAAAGGTAGACTGACTGTTCTAAGTGTGTTTTTACCCTTTGAATCCCTGTCATAGTCATGTTTAAGTGTAAGAACACATAACTCTATGATGTGAGGTTTGTGTTAAATTTAGCATGGGGCAATTTTATGCTTGGCATACACATAAAAAGCTAGATTTTTACAGATGAATGACTAACAAGTTTTTTAAAAGATCATGCATTTTAAAGATCTACTGACGGCTCATGGAAAACTTTGTAAAATATTTAGGTACAGTTCAGTTGATAATATCTTTTATTTTGTATTCACATTCCATGTTTCTTATTAATAGAGGGTTTTACTTAAAAACAGGTTCATTGTTTCTTAAAGGTGAACTCTAGCTTAATTCAAAATTGGACTAAGCTCAAAGGTATTCACTGGTATGTGCTGAATCCACCCACTAAAAGATTATTTGGAGGCATTTTTCACATAAATATTTTTCCGTTAACCTTTTAAAAAGTTTTATTTAGCCCCTGTGAAATATGCTGGCTCTTCTAGGTTCATTAGAGATGACCCAGGACAAATACTTTGGGGATGGGATAGAATTCTTATTGACCTCTTCAGTATCGTAGTTGACTTGCCAAAATTTTTGTCACTTTTCTGTCATATTCATATATTGTTAAACTCTATACATCCTGAAACCAGGAGGCCAAATCATCCCAGTGACATGACTTAAGATAGATTGTAGGCTTGTTTCCCATATGCTGTGTACTGTATTTAGAACCTCTGCTTTTTTGGGTGTGGGTGTGGGTGAGGATTGTACGTTTAATTTTAAGATAACAGATTAATAGATTCTTTAAGCGTTTTGGGAGAGTTCCCTGAACAATTTACTCTTGTGCCTCCCATAACAAAACCACTTTGTAATGAGACAATTTAGTTGAATTTAAATATTAAACTAAGCGATCAAGTTAATTATTTATTTAGACATAAATACTATGTTGGAAATCTAAGAGTGTAGCTGACTTGTAGCTATCTACTTTTAAAAGATTGTTAGGTTATTTGTGCCCCGGCTGATTATCTTTGAATGAAGTCCTACCCCATAAATAAAGGGCTGTTTGAAGCAGCTGGGGGCAGCAACACCTACACATCCTCATTGCCTGTGCTCTTGTACCTGCTGAGACTGCAGGTAGAAATGCTGGTCCTCCCCTGAGCAAGGGAAGGAAGATTCAAATGTTCCAGAAAGATTCTCTCCTCCTTTTACATTGGTGGCTATGTTAGACTTGCCTGAGTGGTGAGAAGCCTTTTTATTACTTGGACTGGGATTCTCTTGTCTTAGTCGTTGAATCTAGAGAGATGAGAGGCAGCATTAAGCTTGCTTCCGTTATAGTCATACAAGTTGAGTTGTAGTTAAAGGCCCATTCATTTATGGAAGAAGAATCAGAAACTAGAATGTAAGTCTTTAATCAGATTAACATAGATAGTATATTTTTCTGAAAT